CTGGTTTTGTGGTGTGCCCGGTCCATTTAAAACCATCATAAACAATATAAATTTGAGGTATTTATGTTTTATTTATTTTTAAAATTTATTTTTGAATATTTATGAGTATAACATATTCTTGTGCATCGTATGGGTGAATAACTAGTTTACATAAAAGATATCAGAACACTTTTGTTAAAAATCATTGTCATTGTACTATTTTCTTTGTGCATATTTTTCTACTACAAATATATTTGTTATTTATTCAATCATAGCCGATAAGGGGTCCTTTACGGCAAATTATGCTGTGCAACCGTGAGCACCATGCAAGGTGCACACATAATTGGATTCATAATTTTTATACTATAGATTCATAATTTTTATACTATACATTCATAATTTTTATACTATAGATTCATAATTTTATACTATAGATTTTATGAATCTATAATTTCTGTATAGATTTTATGAATTTACAGTATAGAAATTATGAATCTATAGTATAGAAATTATGAATCTACAATGTAGAAATTATGAATCTATAGTACAGAAATTATGAATCTATAGTATAGAAATTATAAATTTATAATATAGAAACTATGGATTCAATTTCGTATGCACCTTGCATGGTGCACACGGTTGCACGGCATAACGATGGATCCTTTACAACACACTTTATTATTCCGTCTATTTCAATTATTCATCGAGTTAATACCCAAAATCGTCCTCGACTATAGTGGTTTTTCTCAATTTCGTCCTAAACGACTTTGGTGACCTAATATCGTCCCAGACTTTTGTGTTTCGCTCAATTTAGTCCTCCATTTGTTATTCCGTCAAATTGGTATTAAATTAAGGGACAATTCAGTAATGTCAATATTGATCTCTCTTTACTTTCAACTTGTGAAGTGCGAAATTCCTCTTTCTTGTACGAATTACACCCAGAATTACTCCCGGACCTGCAAATCAAATTTTATATTCACAGTTTTAAGAGTAATTCTGGGAGTAATTCGTAAAAAAAAAAGGGATTTCGCAGTTCACATGTATATGAGTAAAGAGATGCCAATATTAAAATTACTGAATTGTCTATTTATTTAACACAAAATGGACAAAATAACAAATGAGGGACTAAATTGAGCAAAAACACAAAAGTCTGGGACTAAATTGAGCGAAATTCAAAAATCTGGAACGATATTAGGTCACCAAAATCGTTTAGGATGAAATTGAGAAAAACCACTATAGTCGAGGACCTTTTTGGATATTAACTCATTATTCATCGGTTGCCAAAAACAAGCATTGTAGCTAATTTAATATGATGGGCCTAGACCAATAAAATCATTACTCATAATGGTGCTATATGAGCGTTGAAGCTTTGATTTCCTATGATATAAAGAACTCACAACGAATGTATTTGAGTATTCAAATATATTATTCTCGGCAAACTTAAATAAAATGTGTGCATTTAAATTTTATTTATAGAAGAGTTGGCAAAGTTTTGAGAGAGTAAAGATAATATGTAGGAGTTAATTGGCAAACTTGAACAAAATGTGAATATATCAAATTTTCAGATGTTTCAAATGTTTTAGATAGAGCAAATATTAATTTTTATCCCACGAGTATTATCAAAATGACAGTTTTGGATCACATATTTAATTCCTACCAATTTTTATCCACGATTATTGTTTTAGTGTTAAAATTCATCACGTCGGTCACTCATTCGTTTAAGACATGTAGAAATCTATAATTTTTAAGGGTATTTTCGTCATTTTCAACAACTTAAGATCCCAAATTGAGCATTAATAATAAAATTTAAGCCCTAAGATCGATCTCAACTCGCAATTCTCCTCCACATCCTACCTTAATTTGAGGAGGAGAACTGTGAATTCGAATCGATTTTAGGACTTAAATTTCTTTATTCATGCTCAAATTGGAATTTTAATTTGAAAACGAGACAAAAATACCCTTAATAATTTCATATTTCGTCATATCTGGAACGGAGGGCTGATCGGCGGTGTGATGAATTTTAGAACCTAAAACAATAATTGTGGATGAAAATTAGTACTAAAACAATAATTGTAGATAAAAATTGATAAGAATTAAACATGTGGACCAAAATTGTCATTTTACTAATACTCGTGAGACTAAAATTGATATTTGCTCTTTTAGATATATAAAATTCTTCCATTCAATTAAAGATAATTCAAATTTATTTTGACCCTATCCAAATCAAAAATGAATTTAACTTAAATTAATACTTCAAAATAATTATATAAAATTCCAATTTTGTTAATTTTTCTAACACCTACCCCTTTTCTTAAATATTATACATACAGTTGAAGGCCTGGGCGGGGAAATGGCAACCCCAAGCCCGATTCCCCAACTAGGGAAAATTCGTTTGATTATAATTTATAGCCAAGTGACTATAGAATGCAAAAAGTAGGCTAGTTGCAAAGAGTTTAAACTATTATGAGTATTTTTCTTAAAGAAGAAATATAATACGTAGTAGAAGATTAAATTAAAGTCAATTAAATAAGTTGTCAAGTTGTAAAGAAATTATGGTTTAATGGTACTCGGGTTAGACTTTCATATGGGAGATTGTGATTTCAAGCAGGTGGTAGTTAGTAGATACTACATTGTAACATGCTATTTAATTATTTACTCATTTTTCAAATATGATTTAGGTACATAATTTGTGTTCATAAGCATAGAATTTCACAACACAGTACAATGCATATAAATTCATAACATAAAACACAATTACTAATTTTTTTCAGGTACAGAATTCATACTTTTATAATACAGAATTTCGTAACACAAAATACAAAAACTTGTAGCATAGTACACATTCAAATGCACCAGGATTCACACTGCATTGTGGATCATGGTCTATAGTATAACTATAACAGCACGTTTGGTTCACAGAATGAATTTTGAGGTAATAGGAATGCTATTCCATAAGGAATAGAATAGGCAAGGAATAGAATAGGATTTGTATTCTATTGTTTGGTTCGCGGAAGGAATAGACTTTAGGAATTATATTACAGTGTTTGGTTGATTTAAGGAATAGAAATGAAATATGTTTTAAAAGACATAAATACCCTTATAAAAATATGTGATGGTGACGGTGGTGGCGGTGGCGGCGGCGACGATGGTGGTGGTGGCGGCGGCGGTGATGGTGGCGGCGGCGGCGACGATGGTGAAATATGATAAATTTATATATATGATTAAAAAAATTAGGTTAAAGAAAGGGGTAAAAAAGGAAATAGATTCTAAAATCTATTCCTGAGCGTTCAGTAATAGGCTAATACTAGGGGGGCCCTAGTAATAGCTATTACCTTATTTGAGGTAATAGGCTATTACCAGGAATATTATTCCTGGTAATAGAAATGGTTACCAAACAACGGAATAGGCCTATTACTGGGAATGCTATGTCATTTCCGGCCTATTCCGTGAACCAAACGGGCCATAACTCCTATAAGGATTTGTAGATAAGGGGTAGCCTGCTTCCTCCGTCTTCGTCACCAATCATTATTATATTGACCTTGGTCCACACAGATGTGTGGACCATAGATAAAAAGTACATTTTTAATATACTAAAAGTACATTATTTGAGTACTGAAAGTACATTATTTTATATACTATCAAATAATGTACATTCAGCACACAAATAATGTACTTTTAGTATATTTAAAATATACATTATATTCATGGTCCACACAGCTATGTGGACCATAGTCCACAATAATTTGCCATTTCATTATTGTGTGGACCGTGGTTCAGACTTGAGTGGACCATAGTCCAAAAATGCATAAAGTACATAATCTAATTCATAAAATACATTATTCTAACTCATAAAATACATTATCTTACCCAAGAATATTCATTATTCTAACATGCGTGCAGAGTAAGGAATTCTTTTAATTAACATAAAAACGAGGTCGTTTTGAACCGTGGTCCACACAGTCGAAACAATAATTTGCCTCCAACAAGGGAAAATGGTCAAAGTACCTGCAAGGTCCCTATACTGTAGCGTTTTGTTCAATTTAGTCTCTGTACCTTTATTTTGTTCAATTTAGTCCTTGTACTTTAAGATTTAGAATAATTAAGGACAATACTTAACACCGTTAATTTTTTACGTTAAGTTTGTCTACATGGCATTTGAATTGTCAGATGGTTTGATGTGGCATTGCCAGGTCAGATTTTGCAATGTGGCATAAAAGAATATAATTCTATTGGACAAAAATGAAGTAAGATTTGAACTCATAATCTCTTAATGTCTAAATTTAAAGAATAAGGACTCCACCACCAAGCTACACATTAATTTTGTTATATGTTAGTTAAAATTTGTAATAATAGTAAATCGTCTGCAAGTAGGCACCAAGTTCTCCACCACCAAGTTGTCCAGCAAAACACAACAATTTTTTCACTAGTCAAAGCAAAATAAAAACAAATCATGAACTTTTACACATTTTATAGGCCAAAAATGACTGTTTGACAAGGTATTTTGAATCAATGAATGTCTTTTCCTTTTTTATACTTTAGTACTTCAGAAGAATAACTATTATTATATAATTTTAACTAACATAAAACAAGTGTAGTGTGTAGTTTGGTGGTGGTAAGCAATTCTTTTAAACTTAACGGAAAAATTAACGGTATTAAATATTGTCCTTAATTATTTTAAATCTTAAAATACAGAGACTAAATTGAATAAAATAAAGACACGGGAATTAAATTGAACAAAATGCTGCAGTACATGTACTTTGTCCATAGAAAGTTCGTTTGCTTACAATTTCCAGTCAAGTGACTATAGAATGCAAATAGTAGGGTAGTTGCAAAGGGTTTAAACTATTACGAGTATTTTTTTTAAAGAAGAAATATAATAGAAGATTAAAATTGTAAAATTAACATATTATCTTAAAATTAAAGTCAATTAAAGAAAAAATTGTAACAAATAATTAAGCCAACAAATAAAAAACAAAAAACTAGATGTAACAATAATATAATAAATTCGGAACTAAAAATGAAATTTTCTAACAAAACATATATATCAAATTAATAACTAAGACCAAAAGCTGGTCCAACACAACATCAGCTCTCATCTTGGGTATTACATATTATTTTTACCCAAAGGAGCCATACAATACAATTAATACAAGTGATTAAGGGTCACATCAGAACCAATGACCTGATAATAATAATAATTAAAACAAAAGAAGAACAAAAAGTAAGTAGGAAAACACATATCCAAGCAAATTAAACTGCAACTATAAATTGCATGCATCAAACTAATTGGGGAAATCAATTATTAATTAATGGATTATGGATGATTAGGGGCATTTGGGTCCTCCTTCCTTGGTCTTCCAGTTGTTGTAGCAAGGGCAAACCCCCTTATTGCCATAGAAACCAGGGGGAACACAAAGGCACTTCTTGCAACACTTCTGGCAAAAGAACATGCATGGCTTGTGGTATTGTGTCTGGCTACATCTCCTTGTGCATTGTGGCAGACACTCTGCATATCCAAAACCCATACAATACTCAATACATGCTCGTTGAGATTAACGAGAATAAGATACAATAACAGTGATACAAAGTAGAGAAGACCAAATTTATGTGATTCGGTAATGTGTCTATGTTCACATCAGTGAAACTATTCTTTTATTAATTGTGATGATGATACAATACCTAAACATCTACCGTTGTACTATGGACTCGACCCAATCTACTCCATTCTAATTATTCTTTATATGAGACAAACTCAACCATGCTCATACTTAATTTTTTTTGTGTGTGCGCGCGTGTATATATATATATATATATATATATATATATATATATATATATATATATATATAATTCAATTCTCGTGTGGTGAGGTGTTTCCTATGCGGTTGTGCAGTTAAATCTGAGCTATTGATCTTGCCTAAATCAACATCCAGGATTAACAATGATTAAAAAAATGCGGTAGTAATTTGGTCATTTTGCATCTAGGGCAAATTTAAGGTGCGTGATTTTCCTTCTTAAGGTGCGTGTTTTTCCTTTTTAAGGTGCATGGTTTTTGTATTTAAGGTGCGTGGTTTTTGTACTGTGTGGCTTAAGGTGCATCAATTGTTGAAAAATTAAGTGTGTCGATCTAAAGCTTTATGTGCGTGTTTTCCTTCTTAAGGTGCGTAGTTTGTGTGCTTAAGGGCAAATTATATCGTGCACTGCGTATCAAAACGACGTCGTTTTGTTTAATGAAAAGAAACAGCATCTGTTTTCCACTGTTCTGCACCCTTCCGCAAAAAGTAACTCTGTTATTCAGTTTCATTTTGTATACATTGCAGTTTCGGTTCAACACAACTGCAGTTTCATTTCGATATAACTACAGTTTCATTCGATATTTATATACTCAAATATGTGAAAATGTTATTTAATTTTATTTTATATACACTATAGTTTTATTAAAACACAACTACATGATCATTTTGATATAATTACAGCTTCATTGTACAATATACACTCAAATATGACATTCAAAAAAAAAAATATACACTCAAATATGTGAAATGTTATTCAGTTTCATTTTATATACACTGCAGTTTCATTTCACCACAACTACAGTATCATATTGATATAACTGCAGTTTTATTTGATAATATAAAAATAATACGCGAGGCAGTGTCGGTTTAGATATACTGTAGTGTCAGTTGGTAATTAACATATATAAAATGCGCGCTCCGTTAAAACTAACGTCACGCCGTTTCTTTACTTAAAGAAACAGCGACGTTTTGACCGCGGTGCACATGCACCGCGGTCCACGATATAACGACGGGTGCTTAAGGTGCGTCAATTTTTTAAACTTAAGGTGCATCAGCTTAAACTTTAGGTGCATGGTTTTCCTTCTTAAGGTGCGTTGTTTTCCTTCTTAAGGTCAAATTAACTTTTTCTTCATTTCTTATTTTCTTTAATAACTTTTAATTATTTTTAAATTTATTTTTTTATGTTTAATAATACTTTTAATATAGTTTATAAATATATCAATTTTGTATACTATACTAAATTTTTTATTATAAAAAATTGAATTAAAAATAAATTCAGTCTAGACTCTCACAAAATGGGATGGATGAAGTATAATATTTCCCTTTTCTATAATAACTTCTGCCGACATTTTCACCCAATAAGTTATAACGTTACCCTAAATTTCTTTGTCTAGTACAAAAATACCCTAACCATGGCTTAATCTGACCGACAAACGCACTGGAACCGAGGACATTGTTTGTACATCTGTCATCTGTACAGTAGCCTATGAATCTACGGTTACTCTTTGTAATCTAGTGTAATTAATTGTATTAATTAATAAAAAATACTATATATATTTTTATTTTTTATTTTCAATTTTTACACTTGCACACAAATTTTTGATATAAACATTTATATTGAGACTCATATAAAAAAATAGTTTATTTATACCCACTGTGTCATACAGAAAGTATAATTTAAAAAGTAAAATTTGGGACGAAAGTCCATGTAAAATTACTTTTAATTTATTTTGATTGGTTGTGTTAGTTGTTTAATTTTGGTCAAATTCTGTTAAAGGACGGTTGTCTGAATTAGTCAACTTAGTAAATTGTGCAAGCATGTTCAATAGGCTCAAAGCTCAATACATCCTCATTTCTCGAAATGCTAAAACTCAACTAGTTTTGTTACCGGATATTTCGTAAATAATTGTTGATTATTAGCTATTAACTGATTGAGTTAGTGTATTTAATTAATTAATAGTATTAGTTGATTGTAAAAAAATATTTGATAAATTAATTATTATCTGATAGGTAATTATATGTAAAATAATTTTCTTTAAAAATTGTTCGAAAAAAACTGCTTTAATCAACATTTTAAAGCAATAAACTGTTACACATATTATAATAATTACCATGTTCCTATTATCTATTTTAGATCTTATTATAAGTATTCTCATTTTACATTTTTAATTTGTTCATTTTACTTATAAATTTTAAATTGTTAAACCAAACTAGAATTTTTCACGGCATGTTAAGGTAGATCGTATATAAGCAATGAAAGAAATACTTACGTGTGGGGTTTAAGCTTCCAGGACCATAACCTGACTGAAATAACCAAAAAAAAAAAAAAAAAAAAAAAAATCTCTTTCAGAACATGAAAATGCAAACAAAATAATAAGGAAAAAGAAAGAGGTTGAATTGAAGTGGAAAGTGAGAAGCTAAGAGAAATGAATTGAAGCATGTGCCCCATCTCAACTAAAAGCTTAAACTGATAGTTGGATTGCTCAACACGCCTCCTCACGTGTGCAGTGGGTTCCAAGCAACACGTGGACCATAGTTACTTCTGATATCAAATTGAAGTATGTGCTTCATCTCAACTAAAAGCTTAAACTGATAGTTGGATTGCACATTAATGACTATATGCTCAACAAAAGGCACTTACACCACCATTGTGGTTCCTGGTCTTTGAAGCCAGAATAGTGGCAGAAAGCATGGATATAACAAGGATCACCAATACCACCATTGAACCAAGCTTAGCCATTGCTATTTCTTGCTATATATATGTATATATATATATATAGAGAGAGAGAGAGAAAGAGAGGGAGAGAGAGAGAGGGGACTGTTTTGAGTGTTTGTGTAGAAAGGTTTGATGGGAGTGCAAGGGAGATTGCACTATAAATAGACCTCTTTGATGTTGTGTGTATAGTACCTTTTTCATTTTGTTTAAATTCGTTATTTATTTCTAATTTTGTTTTTAAAATTCTTAGATTTGATCCAAGTTTTTGGGCTTTATTCCACCAAGCATCAGTATCATTGCATGTGAGTTTTGGCTTTTATTCTCTTTTTAAAATGTATATATTCCTTCTCATATATCTATCATGGGTTACTCCAACACTGCATGAGATTCTCAGCTCGATAATATTCATTTCAACAGCAACCAGAATGATGTTTTTTTTTTTAACAAATATAAATTCACTGCTGGAAATTATGGAATTTCCAACCATTTGAAAGTAATTTTAAATCAAGTCGAAAGCAAAAAGTGGTCGGAAATAGCAACAAAGGTTTTTCCAGATACCAAAAATGATCGGAACAAGACTTTCGATTTGATTTAAAATCACTTTCAGGTGGTCGAAAATTCCATAATTTCCAGTAGTGATTGTTATTTATACCCATGCCAAAAGGTAAATGTATAAAGAAATTATTATTATTATTATTATTATTATTGTTATTTTGATACACTAGGTTTTCAATTTAACCCAGACTAATCTTAAGCTTCCAAAATTTCTGTCAAAAAATCGGAGAAGATAACACTATATATAGGTATTAAATTTTTATACCAAATTTAATTTCACTCACATGACACATACATATGAAATGAATGTGGTCAATAAACAAACTGAATGGTTTTAACATAAATTCTTGCACCGACAGGATACATTTATGTTTGAAAAAAATGTAATAAGCACTCCTCAATAGTCAATATTAATAATCACTCATCCACACTAGTAGTTATTTCTACATGAATTCTCTCCACCCAAAGTTAATAGCTGATGTGGGGAGGAGTTATTTTAAAAATATTTCTCCTGTAAAGTATGGTATATTTGTGGATCCACTGGTAAGAGAAATAATTAAAATATAGTGGATTAAATGGTGGATCCATCAAAAATTGAGAAATAACTCAAAACTGATGTGGAGAAGAATTTTTGTGATTGAATGAAATGATGGAGGATGAGGTGGATGCTAGGACCCACAAATAACTGAAAAATAACTTCAACTGATAAGGATGCTCTTGACTATTACAGGGAGATCTTATACGCATCCCCAGCTTAGTTAATTACTTACGTTGAAAAATGTTGAGTGAGGGTTGGATCGGATTAAACTTAATATTGATGGTAGTTATAGGGCAATCGTTATGCGTTGGACCCGTGTCCAGCATGCTTGCTTGACACGGTAACAGTGCCGTTAGGCACGGTTATCTCCTTCTTCTTCTTCTTTTATATATATATATATATATATATATATATATATATATATATATATATAAATTTCGGACCGCTTCGTTATAGGAGTATATGTTCATAATTTTATTACTATATGTTAATAACTGTACATTCATAACTCCATAACTGTACATTCGTAACTCCATAACTGTACATTCATAACTCCATAACTGTACATTCATAATTTTCGAAGCTCTATGTTCACAATTTTAGAGCTCTATGTTCATAATTTTATCACTATATGTTCATAATTGTAAGTTCATAATGTTAGAGCTCTTTGTTCATAATTCGATCAATAACTGTACATTCATAATTCCATACTGTAGATTCATAATCTCATAACTGTAGATTCATAACTCCATAACTGTAGATTCATAACTCTATAACTGTACATTCATAACTCCATAACTGTACATTCATAATCTTCGAAACTCTATATTCACAATTTTAAAGCTCCATGGTCATAATTTTATCACTATATATGTTCATAATTGTAAGTTCATAATGTTAGAGCTCTGTGTTCATAATTTCATAATTGCATAACTGTACATTCATAACGGCATAACTGTACATTCATAATCCAAAAAAAAAAAAAAAAGTAACGTCGTTAACAGCAAAACGCGCGCGATTTTTTTTTTTTTTTTAACTAAATGACGCGTTTTTTTTGAAAAACGACATCATTTTGGGCCCGTGTCCACAATTCATTGTGGACACGGGTCCAGGGCATAATTTGCCGTTATAGGGGGTTTGGATCGGATTGAAATGAGGTAAAATGTGAGAGTTTGATCTGAGAATTTTTGTGACAAATTAAAAAGGTAGAATCGCGCACTCTAAGCACCTCACATGATTGTGGAGGGATAAATTATGTGTGAGGATTTGATCGGAAACTTTTTAATTTGTGAAAAAAAGGTGGAATGATGTTAGATTTGTGCACAAAGAGATAAATTATGATATTCAACTGAACAACAGAGGCTAGATTTTTTCTCATTGCGCCAAGGAGGCCCACTCATATGAAAAATTGCTCCTATACTATCGCTGGTGAGAATTAGTACAGTCGTTGATCTCCTGTGACAAATTTTACCACTATGACCAGTTGATGAAGTTTCCATGCGGGTTGATCTTTGGATGTGTATACTCCTTGTTTAATTGGACAGAGAGTTAACAGAAAATGTAACAAAGGACTATTTTAGGTAAGGTTTTAGTTGTTTAGGGATTAAATCGAGTAAAAAACTTAACGTAGGTGCTTTTATGGTAATCTCAAAGCTTCAACTTATATTCATTGATTCATTCAATTTTATCGCAAATTAATAATAATAAAAAGTTTCATTCACTAGCATGATGTAAGAACATGTAATATGATTTAAAAAATAAGGAATAACGATCAAATAGGTCATCAAACAGCACACAATAATGCAATTAGATCACTGAATTTAAAAAAAAAAAAGTTACAATTGAACTCCTAAACTAACTCATTTCAAATAATTTGTCCAAGTTGTAGGGTTTTCTCCTTTCTAACAGGTCACCCATTTTAAAATAATTTTTAAAAAATTATTATTTTTTTTGAATGCTACTAGCTCTATTACATTGTAGTATATGTTCATTAAAAAATTAATTAATTAAAATAAACTTTAAAAAAATATATCGTCTCCCGCGCGAAGACGAAGAATGTATCTTCGTCTCCAGCCATGGAGACGAAGATCGCTTCTTCATCTCCATGGCAGGAGACGAAGAGACTCTTCGTCTCCGGCCATGGAGGCGAAGGGATCTTCGTCTCCGGCCGGAGACGAAGATCCCTTGTACGACTCTCGCCGGAGACGAAGATACAATTTTCGTCTCCCCTTCGTCTCCACGGCCGGAGACGAAGATACGTTCTTCGTCTCCGCACCGGAGACGATGTTTTTTTTTTTAAAAAGTTTATTTTAATTAATTTTTTTAAAAAATTAATTTTAAAGAATATTTTAAATTGGGTGACGTGTTAGAAAGGGAAAAACCTACAAATTGGACAAATTATTTGAAATGGGTTTGTTTAGGGATTCAATTGTAATTTTTTTGAGTTCAGTGACCTAATTACATTATTGTGTACTGTTTGACGGCTTGGCCCTTATTCCAAAAAAAAAAAAAAATTATTAAAAAAAAAAAAAACTCTACATGGATTCAGTGTGAACCTTATCAAATCAGAAAAGAATATACAGCAAATGTCATCTAGGTCCCATTGTAAGACGATAAAAGTGTATTTGGGACAATTTTTGGAGTGTTGGAAGCATTCCACCGCCAATTTAATTTAGATGCGATTTACTAATTGATTTTTGTTTTTAATTTTTAAAAAATTTTAAAAATTAGATAATAGAAAACAAAAAACATTTTTATTAGCAGGATTTTTTATTTTGTAAACCATAAATATTTTTTAATTTTCTAAAAAACTGAAAAACTTATAAAAATTATTTTCTAAATGAAAAATATATAGAATTTCTATCATCTATTTGGTTATATATCACTATAATCACATTCTTAGTGTTATTTACTTACATATTTATTCATTACCGGGAGCTTTTAGTTTTGGATCGGAGTGATCAAATTGGTATATGTGGAGATGGGATCCAGGAGACATAGGGTAGAAAGTTGGGATGGTCGGCAGTTGCATTAAAATAAGAGAAATTAGGGCAAATAAAACAAAATATATTGTGTTTGAATTTATAAATAAAAACTAGTTACCACTCGCATTCCGCAAATAGTCTAATACCCAATGTATATTTTTAAATTAATATTTCAGAATTTATCAAAGTATTATTCAGTATTCTGGCGTATATCAATGCAAGATTATCAAATTTTTAATAAAAGTAAATATTTCAAGAATGCATAATTATGACCTGTGGTATAATTTTTCATAAAATTAATTGGTGTAATAGCATTTTTAGTGGAAAACACTCTCATTGGATAATACCCAAGCATAATTTTTGCAACACAAAACCCTATTAATTGGCATTATCCATGCTTCCTCTAGTTGCCGCTTCTGTCAGAAATGAATTCTTGATTTAATCTAGTCCAATGATGTGCTTCACTATAATTTTAGTACCTAGGTGTAATGCACCTTAAAAAACATTACTAAATCATCCTTCCCCCCAAAAGACGATAATATGTATAGTTTCTCATCTGTGTTGAATATATATTGTAAATTAGGCGTACTGTTTCATCAATGCCCAATGTGTGATTCTAATTAATTGACCAAAGTTTATGTTAAATTTTATATTGTAATTTTTAATATACTCTAACATATTCATAGTATATGTTTAACAATTATGTCAATTTTGGTTGGTATGAGGTTTGAACCTAAGACCTTCCTTATGAAAATCAATGACAACACGTTTGGTTCACGGAATGAATTTTGAGGTAATAGGAATGCTATTCCATAAGGAATGGAATAGGCAATGAATAGAATAGGAATTGTATTCTATTGTTTGGTTTGTGGAAGGAATAGACCTTAGGAATTATATTACCGTGTTTGGTTGGTTTAAGGAATAGAAATGAAATATGTTTTAAAAGACATAAATACCCTTATAAAAATATGTGGTGGTGTCGATGGTGGCGGTGGCGGTGGTGGTGGCGGCGGCGGCGGCGGCAGTGGTGGTGGTAGAGGCTATGGTGCCGGTGCCGGTG